TTCACCACATAGTATATGAAATGTACCGAGTTCAATATTCTCCTTGATGTGCTTTTTATTATAACTATTTATACACCCATATAGTGTGTTATAATGAATAACATTACATTAGTGAGTTCATCGTAGCAGATGAGACTTAAGAATAGTTTAAGCGATGTAGCATTAGTTATGATTATCGTACGGCTGCGTGAATGTATTATTAGCTGTTAAAATATTGCAGCAGTGAGATAATATTATGTGCATGGTTGAATCCAATTTGGTATGCGTCATCATTCGTGAAATTTTTCGTCTATTTATAATTCCTGCATTAAATATGCTCATTTATATACACGTTCTCCTTCTATGATATGTAGTACATAGATGGATCTATGATTGGGGCTCATATGCTGAAAATCCTGTATAGAAACCTCTCATCACCATATATGAACTGGAAAAGCAGACTTGCACAGACAACAGGGAATATCCTCAAAGATATTTCCCAAAATTTTAATGTATAGCTACGTATTTACTAAGTTTTGCATTATTTGATTTATTATATTGGTATGGCGAAAGACTTCTTTTTAGCATATTTTCCATAGTAAGACGCTTAAGCGGATATTGTGACATGTGTGGTGTGGGCCTGGCCACAATTACCATGTAAAGGGAAACTTCTGGAAGCAGCAGACACATACATTTTCATAATAATATGCAAAAACATCTATTTTCATAAGGATATGCATACACCTCATTACATATGTGTATAAAAAGAATTTCCCACATTGTTTTTATTACCATCATAGCACTTTTTTCTTATGGTGCTTATAATTTCTGCCATGATTTCGCTTTGTGTAACTCATATTTGAGGCGTATTTTTTGGATGAGGAAGAAATAGAATATTGCACTTTTAGAATGCATTCCCAATGCTCTTATATTTATGTTAAACGTGTGAAATGTGCAAAGACATAGACACAAATAAACTAGCACTCTGAGGCGAAAAACAGATGGTCCACAGGCCGCCAAAGCACTTCCTGTATGGACAGGATGCAGAGGGGGGCTAGATATTTTTGCACCAAATAATGTAAAAATTAGAAATTATTTTCCCTACAGGGTAATTCTCCCTAGAAAGGGCACTGTCCCTCATAGGAGAGATCGGACGAATTGG